CAAAATCGTACATTAAAACAGAGATGTACAAATCCCAGGAGCTCCGTGTGCTCCTTACAAATGACAGCTGCCTCCTAATTTTTACATTTTTCTCTAGTCTAGTCTTGGAGCTCAAAAGTATCGGTACATCAATATTGTTTTAGAAAAACTGTCACATGGCCATAAACAAAAATGTATCAGTACTCGTACTTGTAAGTACTTGGGCAAGTACCAGTACTCGTACTCGCAAAACTGGTATCGGTGCATCACTTTATTTATAAAAACAAAATCGTACATTAAAACAGAGATGTACAAATCCCAGGAGCTCCGTGTGCTCCTTACAAATGACAGCTGCCTCCTAATTTTTACATTTTTCTCTAGTCTAGTCTTGGAGCTCAAAAGTATCGGTACTTGTACTCGCACTTGTACCGAGTACTGTACTTGGTATCTGTGCAACCCTACCTAACAGAGATTATAATGCTACCCTACTCTATCCAAAGAGAAGAGAAAAATAAAAGTTTGGTTGGATAAACACTTTAGAGCGGTGGTAGATAAATTATTATGGCATTTAGGAGCCAGCCTGTCAAATCCAGGACCCAGCAGGATCTTTTTTTTAGGAGCCAGCTCTATTGACAATAACTACAGTAAACCTCAAAAATTTGGCACCAGATGACATTTTTATGGAGCTTTGGCTACCTGGCTCCTGGGAGTTGTCCAGCCCTGCCATTAAAGCTCAGCTCCGGCTAACGTGTTTTATTTAGTTTTGGAAAGCGTTAGCAAGGGTTATAACCTCTGCTAAGTTTGTATAAACCCCTGACAGAAATGTTATCTCTTCCCCACTCTACCCTAAAAGCAAGAAAACAAATTGGTTGAAGTTGGACTTTAATTTACCATTGTGCTTGTCCTAAAGCTGCTGAACCATCGCAATAGGCTACCATATTTTTCTTTGTATTATTCTAGAGGTCAATAGAAACAGGCCTACCAGTGCCACATATAAGTAGTCCCATACTGCACAAATATACACTTGCAAAGGAATATGGGTGCTTGAGACAACAGAATGAATGGATGTCTCTTTCATCCCATAATGTCCAAAATCCATAGGTGTGTGTGTATATACCTTGAAAGGTTCTACTCTTGTAACCTCAGTATCTTTGTCATGTGACTGAGGAATAATCTGTGCAGACTGTGACAATGGCACTTTCAGGTTTACCCTGCACAGAGATTTTCCAGCTCACAGAACAACAATCTAAGGCTAACAGACTGAGTGTTAAGGTGCCCGTACACCTTGCGATAATCGTACGATAATCGCGGGAAATCCCGTGTGGAACATGTTCGAAAACCCGCCGAGAATCGTACGATTGTCGGCGGGTGTGTGGCATGTTCGTAAGATAAATGCCGCACGGGCCGATGTGCGCAAGCGCACACTGCCCGTTCAGCATTGCAGTCATCAGAAGCCCGCCCCTCAGCGGGGTGGGCTTGCGGTCATCGCAAGCACGATCTGCCTGTCCAAGATAGGCAGATCGTACGTTTTTTTAATTACCGTACAACCATCGCAAGACAAAAGTCTTGCGGTGGTTGTAAGGTGTGTGCTCAGCATTATTGTCACTTGGGTTGGTTAACTTTGCAGTTAACCCTTTTCACATACAATAGCTGCCACTATGTGTTTTAATAGAAAAAATGCACCATTCACAGTATCTATTGTAGAATTCAAGTCCAGTGGGAGATTCCTCCATCCACATAGTTTAGCGTAGATGGAGGAATCTGTTGGACTTTTTCCATCTGACTGTATGAAATGTGCAGATAATCTATAGGTGTATGGCCAGCTTTAGTCTGAATCTGTCCCTCAGAGCTGACTCTTAGCATTCATGTGTAGTTTCAGTGGAAAATGCAGTGCTCCTAGGTTGCAGATGCAACCAACTTTTCTGGTCCCCGAGGAGGGCTTTTATAGGAATTACATGACCAATCAAAGGGCCTAAAGAGGGGACTGAGGGGCTGTCAAAATGTTATTATGATAGTTTCTTTCTATGTGTATCCATATTCCCAAATGATGCAGTTTTACAGTCTGACTAATAACCTACATCATTGCATAGCACAAAATCCCAGTTAAATAGACATGAAACATGATATGGTTTTGAAGCTGATTCTCTTTCAGAAATTGAATGTGTAATCCTCCTCCAGCACCTAGTAATATAGGGTTGTTTGGTCTTAAAATTATTCTAATTCTCATATGTTTGGGTGGATGCTTGCTACTAATGTACTTCTATAAGATCAGGATTTATGGAGCAGGATAACTGTATTTTGAGAGCTGGTTGTGTGAAAAGGACAGCTTCAGGTTAAGGAAACAGACTCAAATGTGTATTTGCTGTAAATGGCTTTATTATGGGGCCATATAACAGTCCCTGCTTTTTCAGCCTCCACCAAGTGCTGCTATGATAGCCATTAACTATTTACAACAGGCTTATAAGAAGGTTGGTAAACTGGATTTAGATTCCCTTACCTGGCTCAAGCTATCCCACTAGAATTTATGATACCGCTAAGAAAATGTTATAAGGATTTATTATAGCCTGCCTTATATCTGAAGCTTACCGGTTCGATCACAAGATTTGTTTGCTGAATTATGAATTTTTGGAAAAATAAAGGTGCCACTGTTCACTATGACCACCCCCACCCTTTACTCAGTTTGGGGTTCATCGTACCTCATTGTTGTCACACACACAATTTTGGATAGAATGGGTACCAGTGCAACAAACACACACCAAAAAGACTCTGGTCTTTTTATAATCCCGGCCACCAATAAGACTCGGGTCATGTATTATCCTGGCCATCAATAAGACTCTGGTCATGTATTATCCTGGCCATCAATAAGACTCTGGTCTTTTATAATCCCGGCCACCAATAAGACTCTGGTCATGTATAATCCTGGCCACCAATAGGACTCTGGTCATGTATAATCCTGGCCACCAATAAGACTCTGGTCATGTATAATCCTGGCCACCAATAAGACGCTGGTCATGTATAATCCTGGCCACCAAGAAGACTCTGGTCATGTATTAACCTGGCCACCAATAAGACTCTGGTCATGTATAATCCTGGCCACCAATAAGACTCTGGTCATGTATAATCCTGGCCACCAATAAGACTCTGGTCATGCATAATCCTAGCCACCAATAAGACTCTGGTCATGTATAATCCTGGCCACCAATAAGACTCTGGTCATGTATAATCCTAGCCACCAATAAGACTCTGGTCATGTATAATCCTGGCTGTTTCAAATCCAGCAGCTAACTATCCACAGTACAAACTGGGCAACTCGTGCTCGGGCCAGTTATGAAGAGATCAGATCCAAAACCTGAATAAAATTAATATGTAGCCGGGCAAAAAGTTAATAAGATGTTTATTTCTTTTAATGTTTATATATTTTTTATTTCAAGGACAAATTTCAAAACTGCTGTTTTTTGTTCCTTTCCAATCACATGGTCCCACAATCTTGTGTGCCATATGGAAGTACATCTGTGCTCATGCTCAAGTGTTTCTAATTTATTTTGTGTATATGATGGTATTTTATACAGTATATGTGTTTGTCATTCTTTTTTAAAATGTATGAAGTTGAAACATTTAACAGTTGTCTAACAAAAGCTGAGCGTTGGTTCCAATTTTGAAAATATGTTGGTGGCTGGGAGTGGGCGGCTAGTCCTTGGTAAGCGAGATGCATACTCCCTTCTTTTCTTTCTGTTGTCTCCTTTTCCATTTGTTCTTCTATTGCTTCTTCCCATTAACTCTTTCAGTGCCACAATTGTCCTTTTTCTCCAGAGCTTTATCCCCCATTCACATCTGAGCCTTTTGTTGCATGTTTTGGCTCATTTCCCTACAACACTCAAAATCACAATTCCATTATTTTCTATAGTGGCTGTTCAAATCTCTTCTGTGTCATTCATAATCTCAAAAAGGTACATGAAGGTTTTTATGGATTTTTTTTTGTCACCTTCGAGTTCAATAGAAACATCTGTTTTAGTTTTAGCGTGCATATTTACACCTGGAGAGCTCATCTCCTCCTCAAAAACCGCTTTCCATTGGCCAAAATAAAAACGCCTGAAGCTTGATACATGTGTAATAATGGGCAAGAAATGCTTTAAAGTTGCGCCCGGTCACTACTGCTCTCTCTTCTTGGGCAGGATGACTGGTTTTGTATCTGTTCCCTGCTTTAGTTTTCGTTTGGCAGCCTGTAGTGGGTGGACCTGCCACAGCTCCGCTCTCTGCACAGGCTATGTATGCAACACAATGATGTCAGTCCTACCTTTCAACAAAATATCAAAGGCATTTGGTGCACAAGTGGATAGGGATGCACAGATACCAGTTTTTCGGTACTCGCCGATACCGAATACCAGAAGTCCCATTAAGGAAGCGGGGCAGCGTGTCATTACACACCGCTCACGTTTTTGATTGGTGAGGAGCATTTAATGACTCGCCGACCGGCTTCCTGTTACCAGAAGTTCCGGTATCGTGATGGGCATCAGGATTATATTCTGTGCATCCCTGATTTATATAATTTGTGGCTATTGGGGGGCATACTGTATATTGAAACAATAGGTTTAGCACCTGGAGTTCAGCTTTTATACCCAGTTACCCAAGTAATAATGTATGTTAGGCATAGTAAAGTGTATTTATGGCCACATTTTTTTTTTTTTTTTTAGTTTTGGATTGAGTGGAGAAGGACTCCTGTCAGGTTTTGCTGATGTCTTCACTACCTGTCTGATAAAACTTTTTATTCCCAGAACAGAAAGTGAGGGGAAATCTCACCCAGGGATAGTAGTAAAACCTGAAAGGAGTTCTAACCTTCCCCATTCTATCCAAAACAAAACAAAATTTGGGGGTTATAGATGCATTTTAAATTGTTAACCAAATGCATCTGTCAAATACAATAATTTTTGTAATGCTGGTCCTTTAAACTTTTTTTTTGTAATGTAATTCTTAGAAACTGTTCTTTCAAATGTTCTTACTATGGCTTATTTTGGCTTCTGCAGATGGTGCACACATTGGCCAGTAATGGAGCAAACTCTATCTGGGAGCATTCTCTTCTAGACCCAGCGCAAGTTCAGAGTGGTCGCCGTAAAGCCAACCCACAAGACAAGCTTCAGTATGTATTTGGTATTTTTCCTAACTCGCATCAGTAGAAGTGTCTTTATTTTGTTCAGTTCTGTCCAGGCACCTATTTTCAACACTGCATTTGCTTGTCTGTACAAAATATACCAAAAATTAATTACTGCAGCCAGAATTGATCTGGCTTCCTGTATGAATGCATCTAGAAGAACAATATTTTCCCCACCAGTCTGTCGTATTGAGGCACATAATAAAATGTAAAAACAATTTG